GGGCTCTTGGAGGGCGCATGAGAACACGGCCATCACCGCACTGGGCACGTCGCTGCTGGGGGGGGCGCGGGTAGCCACGGGCGCACGGGACGGCACCGTCGTCATGTGAGTACGGCGCGTCGTTGCCGTGTAGCGCGATCTGCGTACGTACGGCAGGGGCCCCTGTTTCCTTGCGCATGTTGTGCGCGGGTTCCTGCTTTCCCCAGCTTTTCCCGAAGTTGCGGAACCCTCCTTGCGGAACATCCATCGGCGGAAACGTCCTCTTCTGCCGTCTGTTCCCTTCCCCCCCCCCTTTCTGTGCACAGTTGGGACATGCGTGTACGGCCCCCGGGTACCTCCTGGAAATGTCGTACACACCAGCAGTCGGTTACGAGTCTGCAGCTAACCAACGACAACACGCTGGTCACGTCTTCACTTGACGGCAAGGTGGGAAGGGAAGGGGAAGGGGAGTGTGTGTAATGTGTAACGTGTCAAGTTAAGGTGCGCGGGGTGTGATATCGTGCGGGGTATTAGGGCGGGTCAGCTGGGTTGAGTAGTGGGTGGGTTAGTGCACATGCGTGTGTGTTTTCCTTCCTGAAACTCCTCCTGAAACCCCTTCTGAAACCCCCCCTCCCGCGGCTGACAGGTTCACATCTGGGACTTGCGCTCCAGCGGCAGCCCCCGGTCCGCCGCCTCTCCGGACGGGTCGGCGGTGTTGGGGGCGAAGACAAGTCCCGCGGGGGATTGCGTGGCGGGTAAGGCAGCGGATGGGAGGGATGTGAGGGGCGAGGGGGGATGATTTCAGGAGGCAGTGGAAGTGCTGGTGGTGTGTGGTGTGGCGAGGGGAAAACATTTTGGAGAAGTTGGACTCCAGGGAGGAGTGGGGTTGGTGGTGGAGGAGTCGGGGGTTAGGACGCTCACATTTAGCCAATCAGTGTCGGGTGCCGTCGTCGCAGCTCACAATGCCTCACTCAGCACAGTTGCCCGTTCCTCACTGTTGCCCGTTCCTGATCTAACCTAATCGGACTCTTCTGTCCCTTTCCCCACACACACACTACGACGACCTCGGCCACTGCCGCGCATTACGTCCCCCGTACATTCTCGTACGAAGTTCACACGCAACGCGGTCTGATGACGGTGGACCTCCTGGACGGCAAAGCGAGCGTTACACCCATCACCACCGCCCCCCTCAGCCGCCCGTACGCCGACATCGTGTGGAACACCTCCACCGGCGAAATTTACGCTGCCACTCCTACGGGCTCTGTAACGGTTTACCGCCAGTCGTACACCTGAAAGACTATATACGGCATTGTACGATGAGCCATACAAGTGCTGCGCATGTGGAGAGTGCCTGGCGAGGAGGGAGTAGTGTGGGGAAAGACGGGTTTGGTGGCAAGGTGGAGAAAACACACACGGCGCCGAGGAATGCGGTGCGTGGCAGCGGGGCTTGGGCAACCTGAGCGGGGGAGGGGGAATGGGGGAGGGGAATGTGGTGCGACAGCCCCGGGGGAGTTTGGAGATGTGGGTGGCAAGGGTATGAACATATGGTTGATGTCTTGGCATGTGCGGTGCGCTCGTACAGCTGTACAGCAGTTGGAGGTTGAGGACTCGGCGTGCTGGCAAGTGTTGGTGGTTAGTGGGGTATCCTGATTCCTCGCAATTCTTCACCCGGCGGCCATGTAATCGCTATGTGAAATGAATGTACTTGTGCAGACCATAAAGCGGCATTGAAGGATGCGGCTCTGTAAGTTGAGCTGCGGGCCAAATCCTTTGGGACATCATCGGGTTTCGGAGGTACTGGCTACAAGGGTTCCGAGTACACAGCCGAAGTGCGGTCAAATTGCTGTGTTTTCATTGGAGTGTTCACGAAGTGCGTAGGTCAGAAAATGGACAAAATCTTCAAGGAAGTTTCCGTGAAAAAGGTTAGGTTTGCCTTCATGCCACTTCACATGATGAAGTGTCAATACGCGTGACTTCTTTTTGTACAGCTTTATAAGGATTGCATGTTTCTGGCGAAGTACTTTGGGAGACGTGTAAGTCTTGCGCCGGCTCTGCATGGTGAGGCCTAGACTGACATCTTTTTCGCTATGAACAGCAAGGGAACGAGGAGGTCCTGATGAATCAAGTGCGCCAACAGTTTAAAGCAAACATGCATGAAGTAGATGACGACAAGGTAACGTGGTAACGTGGCATCTTAACCTTTGCGCACAGCTGGCATATGAATGAGGCCTCTCATTACCTACCGCAGATTAAGGAACAAAAAGAAGCGTGAGTGATTGATGGCGGTCTTTCGGTTAAGGCGGGGGAACCGTCCCAGGGGACACATGAGCCCCCCGTCAATGTGGTGCCGGTCCTGACGCTGTGCAGAGCTATCCGAGCACTACACAACCTGCATCTGCTTGAAGCAGACAGATACGTGCGGGTAAGTATGTTCGGGGGCGTTGCCCATGCGATGTTCAAACCCAAGGTTTTGCGGTGAACGGGACCCGCCATCCCGCTTTGCTCTTTCAGGACAAGAAGACGTGACAGGACGGCCTGTGAGGCGCCTCAGAGTAGCTTGTGCGCCGAATCGGCGGACGTCTGCCGAGAGGGTTAATCTGCGCTATGCTTAGCCGGTGGTAAAGGTCTGGAGTAAACTTCGTCCCCCCTGAATGGTTGGGCTTAGGGTTTGGTTAGCGATGATTATCACCTCCCAACCACGGAGAAGACATAAGGTTTAGCTATGCTTGCGTGTCGCGGTTGGCCTCATTCAATGATGTATTTGCCGCCTGTTTTGTATTTCATCCTCGGGACCTAGGCGGCTGTCAAGCACCGCATAGGTCCGATAGAGCAGCATAAGCGTGTCTACTCCCGGCTGGTGGCCCGTATCATGCCATCGTTTGGAGAGTGGAAATTGCTGTGTTGGTTGCGCATGATGGTGTTCATTTAATTATGTTGCCTGATTTCCCAACTTATGTATGCGTCGTGTGTGGAGATGTAACGACGCAAGGCCCAACTGAGCATCCCGGGTTACGCCTTTGCTTTGTTACAATGGTATCGAGACGGGGCCGCACGACTTCCGATGAAATCTTCGGGTCGGTGGTTCGATTCTGACAACAAGCAGGTATCGCAGAAAGCGATATCATGGGTAATGGATAAACCAGCGCACAATGCGTGAGGTGGGATGGCTCCAATGCTCGATATAATGGCCGCGGACGTCCATTGCTAAAGGGGGGGCAATGTAACGACGCAAGGCCCAACTGAGCATCCCGGGTTACGCCTTTGCTTTGTTACAGGAGATGTGGGTTGCTGGGGCAGTGGACGCAGCCACATTACAAGGGCAAAGCGCGCACAGCCAGCACAACGTAGCAAATCCGCCTCATCCGTCGCCCACCCGGCTGGTGACTTATTTAATTCCGCAAGTCCTGTTGTTTATTCAATAAAGGTTTAATATTGGCTTGTCCATGTCAGCTATCTTGGTGCTGTTTGCAGCCGGCAGACGTGCAACGGACGTGCCAGCTCCACAGTAGCTTCATTCAGCAGGGCACAGCAGACACCACCTGATGGAAAATCTTCAGCCAAGTTGCATTTCCAGTTCACTATTTCTATTTGCCATTACGACTTAATAACTTAACAGTACGACAGCTTTCGCGACATATAGCAAATACATCACGAACCTATCACTACAGGCCTGCACCTTGCCTAACGGTACCAAGAGTACCACATACGTCTCAATCTGTACAGCAAAAACAGACGCGCGCGCTCTCCTGCCAGGTTCACTTCCATCATAAGATCATGCGCGCGTTCGTACGGCACGCAGGGTATGGCAGCATGCCGTACATCTCACATCGTGTAGGTATCGCTGGAGCCCTTAAAGTTCGCCAGTGCGGTCAACATTGCGATTGAGATGAGCCAGATACTCCCGATAGCGCTCGTCGTACGCGTCATTCATGTCGTAGTGGCCGGCGTGGATCCTGCCGTGCGTGAAATGAAACGTCACAGGAGGCGAACAAAGCAGTATGGAAAAGGGTTAACGAACAGATACTAGAATGAACCGGAGCTTTACACCGCATCCCGCGTGCATGCCTCTACTTTGGACCAACGACTCCGCAAACTAACCCTGTGGATAGGGGTTAGCTTCAACCCGGTAGACAGCCCTTTAGGGACAAAACCCCCCAGGGGTGTAACTCCCTTTTTGTTTGTTGCCCCTTTTCTCGGGTGCCCCCAAAGGGGAAACTCATTCCCAGGTTAGCTTCACCCACCCGCTCAAACTAGTCGCAGCCCCTGCCCATCCCCCAACCACGCAGCTTCACTCGTTTGTGGTTCGTCTTTCCCCCAACCACGCACCCAGCCCCACCCGACTTCCAGAGTCTCCATCGTCCACAATTTAAAAACACATGCCCCGGCCTACTGCTGCTACATGTCCTTCCCCGTTCCTTTCCTCTTCTGCCGCCTGCAAAGTCTGTACTGGCGGGTCACATCTTTCTCCCCCTTTCCCCCCCTCTCACCACTTGGTCATGCTGAACTTCTCCCCCTTGATGACGGGGCAGGCGCCGTGCAGCGACCGCTCCTCCAGCTGCCCGTTGGTCTTCATGCTGTGGAACAGAATGGCTGTACGACAGATGTACGGGTTTCCATCCACGTGTGGGGAAGTGAGGCACGCATGTGGGTGTCAGGGGAGGATGCAGATAAGCGGTGAGCGGCAGGGCCACTAGGGGCATCTCGTAGTCATGGTGAGGAGGCCCCAAAAGGAGGGGAGAGGGTTGCAAAGTTGCAGGAAGGGAAAGCTTGAGCCACAACTTAACGAGAGCGGTAAACATAAGCCCAAGCCTTCAGGCTCTTCCGGCTGGAGCAGCCTCCCAACATCCACACATGCCCTTACCCTGCCGGTTACAGATTAGATTCTGGAATCAAGGGCACTTTCATCATTGATTTTTGAACGCTTGACAGTTGGTGTTTTGGGGATCGGGAGTTGTTTGTGTTGCTGTGATTTTTTGCATGCATATATTTCAACTCCTTTGCCGAGGACGGAGGACGCACCGTCTCCCTTGCGCGGCTTGACTGCCAGGTTGTACTTGGCGCACTCCGAGAAACCCACATTGACCCCGCCCGGCGCCGGGATCTTGGGGAACACCGTCTCGCCACCCTCCTGCACACGTCACAACATCGCGAAAAGGAGAAGGCGGGTGGGTGGGTACATTGTAGATGTATCTAGCGACAATAATGCCAATGTTCAAACGTGGGGTCGGGATTTGGGGGATAGGAAGGGAGGCCAAGTCGCTAGTAGGTCGTAAGCTGGCTCGGTTCGCCGCCAAATGCCGGGGAGCGGCTGCGCACGCACACATCCCATCAAGCCCCTCTTTCACGACACGCCCTCACCCGGCCCTGCCCCTCCAACTAACTGTACGGCAGTGCACCAGCCGTTTCCCCGGTGCATCACCCTACCTACCAGTGCTACTGCCTGTAACACAGCAAAAGGCGTAACCCAGGATGCTCAGATCGGCCTTGCGTCGTTACACTGCCACCATTTTTTTGCAAGCCCAAGATGCCGCAACCCCTTCAGGAGTGCACTCCAATGTGGACCAAGGCTTCACAATCGGCGCCCAAATTGCAGACCCAGCAATACATCAACCCGTCATCCTCCTGCACACCCACTCGCCCCATCCAACACAACCACCCTCGATCCGCCCGCCCACCTCCGTGTCCGTGAGGTACGTGAGCACGGTGGCCCACCGGTTGCCGCCATTTGCCGAACCCTCCTTATGGAAAAAGTAGTCTGTGGGCGGAAGGGGGCACCGTAGCACGGGGGTATCGTAGGGTAGAGAGGTAAACGAAGCTTTAATGGAATCAACTAAGGGAGCCAGAAGATAATACATGCGTAATACACGGGCACCCCCTATCGCTGCATCCCATAGACAATGTGGGAAGTGGGTGCTCAACACACACTCCCTCTTCCCCCCTCACGCACGCATTCCACATCCTCTCACACTCTCGAGGGAGGGAACCCCGTGGGCCACTGACTTTTAACTGTATCATGAGCCGGCCGGTTGCTTACCCCACTGTAAGCGTCCAACGGGATGGCCATCACCACCACGGTAGGGTAGGGGAGCATAGAGGTACAGCGTATAGAGGTAGCCGCGGATTGGACAGCCGAGGTAGCCATCCAGCCAGGCAAGGAGGCGGGCGGAACGGCCGTGGCAAGGATGACGCCATTCGGCCATGGGAGGAGGGAGCGGGGGCAGGTGTACAGGAGGCGGGTTCGGGTTGAGAGAATGTCACCAGGGGTTCAGAGGGATTTTAAGGTGGGGCGGATAGCGCGCCTGAGCGCCGCGAATATGCGGGTGCCAAAGGGAAAAGGCCTTTTTGCGATCGGGTTTGGTTGGGTTAAATGTCAGAGGGAACGATGGTGGACGCGATGCAAGGCCGCAAAACTCACGTGCGAGTCGTACTTCTGGTCTTTCCGGTAGCGCAGCACCTGCAGCGCCTCTCCGGCCCAGATGGGCGTCATGGTCCAGTCTGCAAGGCGCTGCTCAACAGCTGCAGAATCAAATATTGGGGCGATCGGGAGTGAACGAAGTTGCGTTGAAGGGCAGGACTGTAAACTGTACCGCTGAACATTACTCGATTGGCACTTCAAGGCAAGGGGCCACTCCGCTGGCTTACCCTCAAGGATGGCGTCTTCGCCACGTTCAAAGAACATTCCATCTGATGTGCGGATATCAGACACCACGCTGGAGCCGCTGGCGGTATCAACGACGCCCGATCGCTCGAGCCGCTTCTCCGCTTTCATACGAATGTAGTCGCATTCCTCTGCAAGAAAGACCTTCCTTTGTCTAATTGAAATTGCTTAGTAGCTTGACAATCGGTCCACCAAAGGTCAACTTACCTGGCGTAAGGAAGCCTCGCCAGAGGTAAATCCGGGCATCCGCATCGAGCGTAATAATACGCTTGCGTGCGTCAGGATCAGAGGTACTGGTAGGTATGGAGCGTGCAGCGGCAACTGCCACAAACAAGGCTGCGCAGAGCAGCACAGCCAACCTCGCTGCCATACTGTATGCCTCTATGAAAAGTTATAAGGAGGAAACGTTATGCTGTTGGTGTGAAAAGGCCCTGAGGAGGACTTTGTAATGGACGAAGCGACGTCCGGCAACGCAACAGCTCCGACACTCGGTAGCTTGGGTTTCCTGTAGCTTGGGGCTTGCACCAACCAGCCTCCTTAGTACCTATCAAGGGGGTACAAACAAAGCTCCTGAAGTTTTAGGATTGTAACGATCAGAGGGACAAACTGAATGCCGTAACCTTGAGGCATTTCTGTTAAAGCAGGTTTATAGGATTGGCAAAAACCGAACCTCGAAAGGCTAGAAGATTACTAAATCCATGCGGGCCCCAAACTATTGGCTGACTGAAAGCTCGCCAGGCTATGCTGGACGCTACGCTGAACAACGACAGGGTTACGCAACCGGACACCGAATCTCAGGAATGCCATCGCATGCAAGCCCTTCCCACATCCATAATCTCCTCGTTGTGCCTGTTTATGGCTTCACTAAGGCTACCGCTTTTGTGCTCACGGCAGCTCACGTGGCCGCCATGTATCCATCATAAAGAAACCCCCGTTAGGCACATCCAACGCGACACAATCCAACCAGCTCTCCAGCAGTAAAAATCCACGTCTCTGCCCGTCGCCACAACAGTCCGCTCACCTGCCTTTAGTGGCCCTCTGAAATCATCCTTTGTTGAGTTCCAAGGCCCCGAGAGCCCCAGATGGGGCCCCCTACCTAAATGCCCAAGTCGCGCCACAGAGCCCAAGGCAGCAGCAGCTGCCACATCAGACGAAGCTTGCCGTACAACTAACCGTGCAGAAGGGGGCCGTGCAGTGCGGAAGCTGGGGGTCGGGGACACGGGGTCGATTAGAGTTGGAGCGCTGTGTGCAACTGTTGCATACTGGTCGTTAGTATCCTTTACCACTTGCTTTGTTTAAAGTGCGAGGTAGGATGGTGCTTATAGGCAATCTGGCAGCCCTTGAGCCCTCGGCTCGTATTAGGGCGGTTTGCAGGTACGGGGTACGCACCCTCGACACCATAATGCATATTGGACAGCATTAGGTTTTCGCAATCTGGGGCCGTCGCGTCTTGTCGCATTATTACAGATGCCCTGGGGCGTGTTAGGAGGGGTGCCCTCTAGTTATTAGGACACACCTCTATATATTCAGGGGTGCTGAGGAATGCAGAAGAAAGGATTTCGCCTGATTACCATGGCGTCATCACCCAACGAGAACAAGGCCACCTTTGAGGCGAGGATTCCGTACTTAATGTTTGCTCAATATGGAAATTTTAAAATGACAGCTAACGCAAACTCTGCTTTATGCGCCGGCGGCTTGATAGGGCATGGTACGGCAACTGCGCGGCTCTCTAAAGCAGCAGATCCTGTGGACCTTTATGTTGTCGCTGAAGGGGCGGTCGCAAGTCTTCCTGGTTTTCCCGCGCGCAACACCCCCGTCCCCTTCCCTTCTTGCACAGCATCGCATCGGACAGCAGGCACCATGGCCAGATTACACACTCCAAACACACTTACACACACACACATACACACACACTCGCACACTCACACACTCACACACGCACTCACACACTCACACACTCACACACTCACACACGCACTCACACACTCACACACTCACACACACACTCACACACTCACACACTCGCACACTCACACACTCACACACTCACACACTCACACACTCACACACACACACTCTCCAACACATACACACTCACACACTCACACACTCACACACTCGCACACTCACACACTCACACACGCACACACACACTCGCACACACACACACACACACACTCACACACTCACACACTCACACACTCACACACTCACACACTCACACACTCACACACTCTCCAACACAGACACACACTCGCACACTCACACACTCACACACTCACACACTCACACACTCACACACTCACACACTCACACACTCACACACTCACACACTCACACACTCACACACTCACACACTCACACACTCACACACAATCACACACACACTCTCCAACACACACAATCACACACACACTCTCCAACACACACACACTCTCTCTCCAACACACACACAGACACTCCGTGACGCTGTGTGAATTGTGCCGGTGTGGTGCTGCCTCGAGGCATCCCTAGCCCCGACGGTGAACTGATAGCTGCTAGCCTAGTCCGTGCCCAGGCCCCGTCGCGTGCGCTCTTTAGGTGGTTAGCGCGAGTTTCCTGAACCCTGCCCGCCCGCCCCAACGGAGAATCGGGTAAGAGACCGAGTGAGCTTTATATTAAGGCCTCGTGCCTTAGTAGTGAGGGAGGGGGTAGGGTTTGTACAGGGTTTCCGGGTTTCCTCTGTCTTCGTGAACCCTCACCCCAAGAGCCGGATCAGGCCGGGGATGGAGAGGAGCCTTGTTGTGTGTTTCAGAGGCTCAGTGCGCAAACTCGCGTGACGGAGCCATGACTCGTGAGAGCATGCGCGCGTGCGACGCCTCCCACTGCCAGGGGAGGAGGTTGGAACTAACGGAACTGCGGCTTTCGGCTGCTTAGGAGGGGACAGACACGCCCCTCTCCCGTCCGCGGGAAAGGGATTAGGCAGTCTTTCCGTTGGGGCTGGGCAGCAGTTCCTGGCCAGTGTCAGG